ATACGTCTTCTTCTTCTTCTTCTTCTTCTTCTTCTTCTTCTTCTTCGAGTTTCAATATGAAATTCAGTCAAAACCAAGTCTAATCTTCACCAAAACCCCTCAAAATTGAGATATAAACTCCAAATCATATTCTCAATTATTTTCAACAACACCCAATCCAAACAAATAATGATTTTTGAAAATCCAAAATTGAATTCAAAGCTTTCAAGCTTTTTAATGGCTGTCAATGGTGGAATTACTGCTCTCTTTTCCTTTGCTTTGTATTACTGAAATTTGGACATAATTGCGTTTGATGAAGAAGAACTGTAGAAGATTTAGTCGTTTTTGATTTTTGAATTGTAGAAGAATAATCAATTCGTTTTTGAATTGTAGAAGAATAATTGCGTTTGATGTAGAGACACTAAATTTGAAACGAAACTGACGAAGAAGATTAATGTGCGTGATTTGCGTTTGGAAGATCTGGAAGAATATTTAATCCCCCAATTTTAGCGCCTAAATAAGGAAGCCTACAGCTACAATGATTCCTTATTTAATGCATGGTCTATATTTTGTAGAAATACTATTAGCATGAAGGGTAATATGCAAACTATGAACATATTTGGTAATATAGTTTCCTATATGGTATAGGAACGAAAATTTCCCAAAGAAAAATCCGTACAGGTCTAGGTCCAAAGCGAACAATACGTGCCATGGACTCAATGGCCAATTTGGTGATATCATCATATCACTACGGTCTGAGTCTTTAATAATTAATACTGCTAGTTAACTGGGTATTATACTAGTTGGTAAATTGATCTGTGATATGCTGAAGCTGTCTTTATCATATTTTGGACTGTTATTGACTTTTTTATTGTCACCGTGAACATTGGCGGATCCAAAATTTTAACTCAACAGGGGCACAAATTCTACTCAGCCAGTGTCCTTAAAGGTTTTTGGGTGCTAAGTGATTTAAATTAATCATTTTTAAGGTATACACATATACAAGATTTCTGCTGAAATTTACGGTGTTCGGTAACCCCTCAACATAACACATAGACCCGCCTCTGACTGGTTAAAACAAATAGAAATGACTTTACAAATTTGAGCTTTCAAATTTAACCCCCAATTTGAAGGGGAATAAAAAACAGTGTGGAGGCAAGTAAGAACAACTAACACTATCCCCTAGAGTTAGATATTAGTTTTGTAAAAGGAAAAAAGAAAAGTGAAGACCAGACTATGTCAAACGATGATCCAATATATTCTCACACGTTTGACAATCCTCATATATACGATATGCTTCTGATCAATTATTAATCTCTCCTCTTCTTTATACTTATCTAATGGTATTAAAAGTAATTTATTAATTGGTTGAAACCGTGGGAATCGTCACTTTGACTTCTTTGTAGATCCTTTGGTTAGTAAAAGAATAATTAGAAAAAGTATGGACATTTAATCTGGAGCTGACAGCTTTGTAAATACCCACATGTTGATCATGAGAATTAACCGAGTCAACAGGAGCTTTGATTTTTTCGACGCTCAATTTTTTAAGATGAATATTACTCCCTCCTTTCAATTTGTACGACGTAATTTGACAGAGACATAGAATTTAAATTAAATTGTTACATAAATAGTCGGTCAGATTCACTGATACTTTTTTTGGTCGATATTATACACATATTATACATGAAGTTTACATATTTTATACATCCGCCGGCTATTTTTAGTTTAAAAATTAGGTGGGCGGCTATTTGGTTAATTCTTCATCTAAAAAAAAAAGTAAATTATTTAAAACTTGCGAGCTTAACTTTTTTTCCCTAATGCACTAGTAATTAAATTTAAGTTGCAGATCCTTTTCAGGAATGTCAAATCTTATTTGTGTTACAAGTGAAAGAGATGCCTCAACAAGCATGTTATGACTTAAAGCGTGAGGCATCTATCCATCTCAATTAAAGTAGAAAATAAGAGGCGAGGTAGCTTTCGTTTGGTTGATGAAGGAATGATACTTATCAAAAACATAGTAATAGTTAGAAAATCACTAATTAATATTAATATGATTTAATTTCTCTAAATCTAGATCCTAAGACAAGTCACAAACTCTTGATCACAACTACGTACGTAGGTGGAGTTTATAAAAGCTAATTCAAAAAAAAGAAAATTTATTAGAATATCATAACTGAAATTTGAACATATAATCTAAAGCAAATTTTAAAATTTCACCCTCTTTATAGACAAAGTTGGACTACACTCATATTATTGCAAAATTCTTAAACGCTATATCAGTTTGACTGCTTATTTAAAGTTGCATATTCTAAAGTGTATGGGACCTGATTAGGGTCTTCATTGAATAGCACTAACATGGAAATAGTAGTAGAGACAAGAAACAATTGATGTTTGTGTGCACCAACTAAAAGTTTAATTTGTTGATAGAATAATCCATTTGCCAAAATCAACACTGTAATTTATACATATTAATATTTTTAAACTACATTATCTTATGCCTCTAGACTCAGGCCAGCCATTTAATTTCAACTGTTAACACGAAAGCTGTTCTATGGACAAATTTGTTTTAAATTGGGAACCTGTCAAGGAATTGATGGACAAACTAATTAAATAGACCAATACATAATTTTCACAAATATTGGTGGAGAGGGAGTACTAAACTACCTGTGCTAATATCTCTTTCTTGTGCTATAGTTTCTTTCTGTTTTGGCATTTCATTTTAGCAAACAAGCAACACTATGTTTGGTGAGAGAGGCGGAGTCACTATTTGAAGTTTATAGGTTTGAGATTCTAAATCTTTTAAGTTACTGAGTTCTAAATTAATAATTTGT